AATATTCCCACCCACCACGCCGATCTCGCCCACTAGCGAGACGACGGCCAAAACACACAATTACTGATTTTCTACCCGTTCGAATTTTAGCTTTTTTATGCACACGCCAGAACTAGCTCCCTCATTTGCGGCTTTTCCCTACTCTGATGGTGGGCTCCTGCAGGGGCTCGAAAGCTCAGGCTAATGAAAGAATAATTCCAGTGTTCGATGTCTCTTCTTCTTCTTCTTCTTCTAAAAATATACAGTCTAATTTTCTAATCTTAAAAACCAGTCTAAAATCCGAATTTTTTAAATACACATACCAAAGCAAAATTTAAATTTCATACATATAAAGCCTCATATATAGAGAAAAGCGTGCATGATTACAATAGTTTACACAACCTTTCTATAAAATAAGATCCAATGTAAGCCCTCAGTGAAAATCTATATTAGGAAAAATAGGTAGCAGCAATTTGTTTTATCTTTAAATTTACGCAAGTGACAGGAATGACGCTTAGTTTCAGAACCTCAGGTTGAAAAGGCGCGGAAAGTTTTGGAGACCGTTTCAATAAATTTTGGCGCATACTGTATGCCAAAATATGCTCGTGCATATTGAACCGAGACGGCGCTCAGCGAAAATATGCCCTGCACAATGTCTTTTTTTCGTTGCTTAGTCAAAAAGGACTGTTATAGTTGAAGCCTAAAGAATACCTACGCAATACCATGTCACGAAACCTCTGTTATGGAGTCCGGTTAGAACAGGTAGAAGAAATCGGTGAACTCTTTGCACTGACCGGTGCAACATTAACTACTATCGCATGAACCAGCTTAAGTTCCAAAACGGAGGAAATGAAATTATAATAAAGCGGTATACACCATTTCCGTGTCATTTCAAATTTTCATCATTGCAGCCGGCAGGAGGTGGCTGTGTATTTCAATGGGCATTGTCTAACCTTCATACTCATCAATCTAGGGAGCAATTTTCGATCTTGGAACTCAGAGACGAGAATAACCCCCAAAAATACTGGGCCTACGTGACAGCTTTCGAATGTGTTTGCAAGTGCTGAAATCTGGAACAAACACAGTTGGATTTAAGGAAAACGCCTTAGTATAATGTGCAATGGCAACAGTTTAGGTGGGGCAAATCAGACTTATACGCCGTCGTCAGCCAATCATACCCAACCCCAAGTGGTGCACCACCCTATGCTCGAAATCGCAACCTGTTTGATCGGAAGTCGAACGAGCCACGAGCTCGTTGCCCTGCCGGTATAAGGTTGGGAAATATTGGCACTCGTTGATGAACGTTAATCGATCGCTAACGGATGAAGCAAACCAGACTCATAGAAAAAGATCAGGAGCTAAAGCTAGATGACAACGTGTTGGCTGGAAGAGAAATGAATAGAGGTAATAACCAATCAAGGTCAGGTGCTACGAGGAAGCAGGCGTCGGAACACGCAACCACTGCCATGCAAAACATAGTCTAGCTGGACTTCGGGCGACGGAAGGCCAACGCTTCAAAATCTCCAGTAGGACCTTTTGAGCGTTTTCGGTGTCAACAAAAACAACAGCTAAAATGGCTTTTGGTCTGCCCAGTCTGAGGGTGGAACGGGGTAAGTGGATCAAAAGAGACCGTCACAGTTTTTTTGTTTTTGTCGGTACAACTTTTTGCTTAGTTACGACTCGTCGTTATGTGACCACAATTGGAGATTCCGGGGCAAAACAAACTGCCAATAATCTCACGAGTGGGTGTCCTACCTTCAATTCAATTGAGTTTTTAAAACCGCCTAACCTGATCTGCACATCAGCCCTTTCACAGGCCTTTACCTTCAGAATACTGACGATGGAATACGGCCCATTTATGCAAGTATGTTCACTGTTTTTAGCAGGAAAGTGCGCGAACCCCGCTGTAGCCTTAGGCAAATGCAATTACCACAGAAAGAGGACATCCTTTTATACTCTACCGCTAGCACCCCAGTGGCACCTAGGCAATAACTATATGTAACAGGGCGGAAATTGGCATTTTCATGTTGCCGTGGAAGTGGAGTTTTAGAGTTTTGCGTAGGCTGACAAGCAATGAGTGTTCCAAAAGTGTCACCGATGGAGAGAGGAGGTAGGATGGAATTTTTTTCCACGGTATCCAGGTGTGCCTCAGCCCAGACTGGGTGACTGAAACTTCGACCCGAGCCAGGTGGTCAGCAAGCAACTTTAAACCAAAAGTCCGCTCACTTGATGTACTTCAGGGAAAAGGGAAGATCTTAACTTGCAGGCAATCGTGAATTGGTTGCAGATGCGGTGAAACGCACAGGTAGTCTAAAGGGCTGGGGCCTAGGCATGTGATCTTTAAGAAGGTGCCTGGGGCAGTCACTAAAATGGCAAGTATAAGACAGAAAAAAGAGAAGTTAATTTCAAAAAACATGATCGGCAAGCCACCTTTGTTGTTGAGGAGCGATCCACTTCCACCTGTCCCGTCTCACCAGACTCGCCAGTCGTCGACGTTACAGCAGGGGTACCCGAGAGAGGGCGATAAGTGATGAGGCTGACGGGCGCGCCAACGTAGCGATTGAGCCCGTGAGAGCCCAGACTGCAGTACCGTGAAAGGCTGTCCACGAGGCCGGCGCGAATTATGACAAGGACACGTCTGTCGTCGCTGTCCGCTGAAGATGCACAAATGGGTAGAGGCAAAAAGTAAACTACTACTCTAACTCAGGGCATTCAAAAAACGCAATTTGCGAATTTTTAATGTATCCGTCATTCCGATCCACAACGGCATCGTGCGCCAGCATTTGACTGAAAAACCCTAGTGCCGCGGAAGCGATGAAAAAAGGGTGGTTTTGATTGAAGTATGCTTAGCTAGAACTTTCACGTATACCAACCACAGTAACTTTTTAGAGGGCAAGCAAGAGGGTAAACGGAGGAAATGTCTAGTAAACAACATGGTTGACGGGCGTCACTATGAGCGCCCAAGTGTAGCGCGAACGCCGCTAATTCGGAGCGGTGACAGTTCATTATTACCTGGCAGCAACTGTGTCCCAGCTCATTTCCCATTGTGAGCCTTGATAAAAAAAAAATAAGAACGCCAGCCCGGCTTATTCGTCGTTGCCTACGTTTACCACCACAACGGCTGATGCACAAATCGAGTCTGTTTGTACCGTGTATACTCTGATCCGATGCAACCTACGCATGCAACCATATGCTGTTAACTAACACTGCACGCCGTCTCATGGGTCATACTGTGTGGTAATTGTTGACAGTGTTAGGAGCCAGCCTAACCGAATCGCTTGCAGACTGACTTTAAGAGTCGCTCCTGTGTAGACAGCCAACAATGCTTCCTGCTTCAATGCGAACTGCCTCAAGGTCATGTGTCTTCGCAGGCGACAGTTCCCACTCATATACCTTAAACCGCCTGACCGATATTCACTCGCACACACACACGGGCACACGCACGTGCCCAACCGGCTGCAGGTTCTCAAGAGCCAGTTAAACGCCCCACTTTGCGGCCACGCAGCAGGGGACCTTGATACTCGATACTTCTCGAGCAATCCGACACACCAATCACGCAACACTTGAATTCGCTTCACAATTACGTAGAAGCAACTGTTACATCTCCTACAGTAGGGACAGACACTAACAGCGTGACTGGACGCAGCCAACATCAGCCCATGCTTCGCCAGTGGCCACTGCCTCCCAAGACAGCAACCCCGGGTTCCGTACACAATAAAAGCCTCATTCTGATGACTTTCACTTTTGCGTCCTTGTTGTTGTTTTCTTGCCTGGGGATTCAAACAGGTCTTAGTTAGACGATGACATCTCGGCAAATTTAGTGACATTACAACTGCTAGAACGGAAGCTGTTGCCGTAGCGACAGGCGCCATATTGCATACACAGCAATTGCATAGTACGGCAACGTCCAATGACAGTCAGGATGCCTGGACAGACCACCAATCAAAAACCACAACCGCTCCAAAAGGCTCCTTAATGTGGCATTTAGGGCGCTCCCAGTCGGGAGCCTACCTAGCGAGGCGTACTGTTGGTAGGCGTGTTGAGTGCTGGTCGCGTCAGCCGCCTGAGCCCCGCCCCCCCCCCACCTACGGGCTTCTTGACTTTCGCCTTGAAATCGGGTCCGGTGTGGGAGTGGGGTAGAGCCTGCGTAAGTCTACTTTCACTATAATTCCACGGGAGTCACCGCGTTGCTTCAGCCTGCAGAAGCACGCGGTGTACATCATCGAAATGGACGGTCGAACTACCGTTTGTGTTATGCGCAATGAAAAAATGAACTCTTCTGCAGAGGGCAACGACAAGGAATTTGGTCATAAAATGAGCAATGTGGTGACTTCGAAATTAAATATGAGCCCAAATCACGTGCAATACAACATCCGGCTGAGGTAAGACTTGTGTTAGTTGAAACTAGTCGCACTCATGTGGTACGCAACGGATATTATTCATTTATTAATAATCACTGCGCTCGAGCTCATGCGCCCAGGTATAACGAACACTCTTACTGTCA